TGTTGTGCGAGTGTGTGAGTAACGCAACAAATTGTCCATTTGCGGTATATCCGATGGGCTCAGGGATGTCATTAGTCACAGCGTGCTCGTTCTCATTAAATGGCCCAGTCGCCATGGCAGCCCCACAAAGGCCAGCCCCTCCCCCCAGCGCACAGAGAGTGACAGGCCAATTAGAGCAGGGTGCTGTGACATGCAGTCTGCTGTGATTACACCTCCGAGGAGAGAGGAGCCAGCCAGTGGACACCATAAACCGGCAAGGTCCCAACAAGATCCATCTCCAAACAAACACGATGAGCCGAGGGCCCCTGGAGGTCATGTCGGCTCAGAGAGAGTGCGACATCTTCATCGCTCCGATACATGTGGCACCTGCCATCAAGGGCAGTTAGCTGTGATACTGGTGGGGAGAGCGACACAAACTACACCACCCAGAGGGCTTTGAGCACACATCAGACACCGACAGGTTGATTGTCCTGCAATATTCTGTGTTGGAGATCTCCATCACCTGACACACACTACATACACACCACATGCACACAACACAAACACACACTGCTTAGCTAGAATCCTCTCAAGTCTGAATCCTCTGGGGAAACAATCAAAGAGGGAGGCATTGAATCTCTCAGCTCTTCCCTATAATGCATTCAGGCTGGAACATCTGAGTGTAGAGAGAAACAGAGAGACCTAAGTTGTACATGGAAGGAAGAACTATTCAGATCCTTCTCATTCTCATTCCACACAAAGTAAAAGTCATTCATTCAAATCCTTAATTAAGTAAAAGTATTATCAGAAAAATGTACTACAAGTACAACTAGTACAAATTCTTGGAGTGCAGTAAAAGGGTTTAGTATTTCATCTGGTGTTGCATTTTACGGCTGTATACGTTTTTATACTGTGGGGTAGTTTCATTTACAGCAATGCATCATATTCTATAAGATCAGCGTTTGTTTGTGAGAACCATGTCTCTCTAAAATGATTTTTTTTGTCAAAGTCAATGTTTGGGATAAATTGTGCTAATGGAAAAGTATGGTTAGTTAACCACCCCCCCACTGTCTATATGCCTATCCATCACCCCCGACCTTCACACCCGTGCTTGCTGCATTAAGTAAATTGTCCTCAGCAGCAGCATCAGTCATTTAAATAAAAACAGCATAGTATGTTTGCATTCAAGTGACAACCCCCTCAAGGGGAATTTATGTGTTGTCAGTCAGGAGCAAAGGAGGAAATAATATGAAGTCACAGAGCTAAACAGTCCACGCAGAGATGACGGATATTTGACTTCACCACAGAAGATCACTTTTCATGGATGACAGACAGACAGGGAGACAAACAAGAGAGACAGACAGACAGACAGACTGACTGACAGACAGATATAAAGACAGAGAGAGAGACAGACAGACAAGAGAGACAGACAGACAGACAGAGAGATGCACGTACACACACACACTCTTATTCTACTACAATATGTAGCACTCCTCAACTCTCACATCACACAATGACCATCAGTGCCATCAGGGGCAATGTGGACTTCAGTGTCTTGCCCAAGGACACGGACCCAGGTGTCTGATCCAGGGCCTGGAGGAGCCAGAGATTGAACCACATACTGTACCTTTAATGTCCAATTAGTGGACAACCCGCTCAACTCCATGAGCCCCCCACATGCCAATAGTCAACGCTTGTTTCTATCAGTAAAGACCATTTTATACCGAACCATAATCAAGTCACTTAAAGGCCTGATGCTTTAAAATCAGGGTGAAATGTCATGATTGACAGCTGAGACTGTCAAAGCGTGTATCAGTGGGACCTCAAGACCAAGTGTCCATCACCTGATCACTACTACAGCGATGTGGCTCCAGATGATGTCCACAGCGCAGGATGGCAGCATTCGTGTCTGGGATATTTTGGCTTCATGGGTAACGGGAGGAAGAAGAAATGCGTCATCAATCTTTATTTACATCAAGATACATTTGCAGGAACATGTTTTTTTGTAATGTAAAGAGTAAATCTTATAGAACAGAATTGCTCTCTCAGAACACTCTCCGTCAAACAGAAACAAATATCTGGGATCCAGGTATGTTCACATCCACAGAAAATGAGTTTAGCTGCTGCGGGCCATGTCTGCTGCAAGTAGAAGAGTTAAATGCCACTTAAAGCTTTTTCTGTGAGCCACAGCAGAGAAAATAGAAAAAAGGGAGAAGAAAAGAACACTCCATCTGTGCAGATCGAGCCATTGGCCTCTCTCACTGCGCAGCCTTTGTGTGTCTGAGAGAATGGTTTTCTGCCTTTGACAATAAAAACCATATTCAAAAAAAAACCATAATTTTCTTCAGGCAACACTTTCTTCCATTGCCTTCTGATACATGCTCAGTCTTTGAAAAAGCTGGGAACTCACATTTTGGTTGCAGTTTAATGCGAATTGCATTTCTCCTTTTACACAAACACACTGATGGTCTTTCTTCCGAAGGTGGGCGGAGATACACGGAAGAACAGAAAAGACTGCGACGGAGTAATGATTTAATTGCTGGTATGAAGAAAAGAAAGCAAAGGCGGTGATTTTGTTGTATGTAACTACCACCACCGTTTTTAAATGCCCCCCTCTCACAAATATGTAGATTTCCTAAATGAGGGGAATTATTATTTTCTCTCTTTTAGCCATAATATAAAGACATTTGTTTACAATCCATTCGTAGTATTTGCTGCATGTCATGGAGAGAAAAAAATTAAAAGACAACATGAACATGAAACCTGCCCTTACCCTTTATTTTCCAACTTGATCTTAGCACATTGGACATCCTAGAGAAATATTTTGCTGCTACACATGTTGGGAGTTTCCCAAATTAAAAAAATATGCAGCAGTAACAGCCAAAACCTTTCTGCTCATGTCCTCTAACATGACTGTGGAACCTGTCTGCTGTGTTCTACTCTCATTCAGCTTAACAGCTTCAGTGATGTTTACCACAGGACTGAGAAAAGAGCTCTGTGCAGGTTCGAAGTACACTGATTCTAAAATATGTTTGTAGGTCTGCATGTGTTCATTTTTTTGAAAACAAAATAAACTAAAAGTCCAAAAGTATGTCAGGTCCAATGTGTTGAAGCTGTCCTCACTCTACGGAAAAGGTAAACATCCCACCCACGCCTCCTGTGTAAGACCTGAAAGTGAAAGAGATGTCACTCTTTGTAGTTGTTTTTCATCTGGTTGTTGTTTGTGCGTCTGTTGGACATTTTGTGCCTCTTTTTGCTCATTGTCTCCTTGTGGTTGTTCGGTGTTTCTTTGTGATCATTAAACATGTCTTTTGGTCGTCTAACTTTTTATTTCTTTTTGGGGTTGTTCTACTTCTCTTTCCTGTTTGCATCTCTGATCATTTTCTGTCTCCTTTGGTCACTCTGCGTTTAGCGTTTCTGTCTTTGTGGTTGTTTTAAATCTCTTTTTGCTCATTTCATGGTTTTCTTTAGTCATCTTGCATCTTCATTTGATCTTTTTTTATTTACCATCTCATCATTTCTGTGTTTGTTTTCTGTGCGCTTGGGACATTTGGCCACTCTCTGTCTGTGATAAGTTGGCGACCTGTACAGAGTGAATCCCGCCTCTTGTTCAATGTCAGCTGTGATTGGCCACAGCCCCTCATTGACACTTAGGATGAGCAGTAATGATAATTGATTGATAGTTAAGCTCTATTACTTTATACAGATCCTTTAGGCCCATTCTGTAATGCATCTATGGGTGTATGTTAAACTAAGTGCAGGAAATAACTTTTAAGCACAGGTGAATAAAGTTACACCCACACCCTGATATTATGCAGGACGTGAACCATAATGTTTGGCATCTTACTCACCATCTCTATAGAGGACATCTCGCTTTTATCTCTGTTTTTTGGTCTTTTGTTCTTTTCCTCCGAGGACAGAAAAGTGACTGAAATGTAAGATGACAGGACAAGGTGAGTGAGGAGAGAAGAGGCTCAAAGTGACTTAAGAACTCTGAAAAAAAGAGAAAAGAGAGAGCTACACAAGCCTGGAGTGAAAGTTGTGAGAATGTCTTTGAGAGGCAATAGAGTGAGAGAGTGTACGGCTGTGAAAAGGAAAAGTGCAAAGAGACGGAGAGAGCACAGTGGATGAAGGGTTAAGGGCATAGTTAGAGTCTATGTGACAGTATCAAAGCCACAGGAGCAGCAGAGAAAAGCTGTTAACGGGAGCTCACCGTGCCTTAATCGATTGTGAACAGTGCCACAGAGCACAGCCAATCACGAGGGCTCCTGGAGACTTCTCTGGGTTAGAGCACTTACACGCTGTCTGCCACCTGATCATGGAGACGACGCAGGGAGAAGAGAGTGAAAAAGACAGAGGGAGAGAGAGTGGGGCGAAGAAAAACAAGGAGATGAGGGGAGGAAGGGTGGTGTTAGAGCGGGACCAGATGATTTTTGCTTTTTCATCTTCGTGACCTTGAGAGCTCTTGTTAGGGGGACGCATGTTGGAGAGAATATGCATCAAGTGTGTTCGTCCATCTGTCCGTCTCTCTGTCTCACTGCGTGATTAGCTCTCAGCTGTCTCCTCGGCTTCACATGACAATATGTTATCCGCATGACCTCTACCGACATGTCACATGGCATCAAAAGGAGATTTGAAAAGCGTAACGTCACATGGCGTTTTGTGAGGAGCTTCTGAAATAGACAAATCCCTTTGACATGAAACTTCTTGCTCCTGTTTATATATGTCACTGTCTGCACTTGTCAATAAAGAAAATACCCCATAAGAATCAAAAGCAATGAATATGAGCTCATAATAAGCTCATATTATCTCACTCTATCATATATTCATAGATTTGTTTGATCTTGCTGTTCTGGTTGTTGACGCTGTAACTACCTCATCAGTTGGAACGACTCAGCATTCACCAAACTCAACAATTCACCGACTGACGTGACTGGAGACAGAAATAACTGACTAAACATTTAACGTCTCTTTGTGATGACTCTGGGAATCATTTTCATACAGCTCAGTCTTTAGTCTGATTAACTTCTGCCGACTGTAATTGGAAACATATAAACGAGTGTCACAGCATCTAAAAATGACACAGTAAATTGGCACTTTGTTTATTTTCAGTGTGTTACAGTGAGATCTGATGCCCTGGCTGTGAACTGAAGCAGCGAACGTAGGAAAACACTGTTCACATTTATGAAAACCAAGAGTTTGCATAAATATTTATGTCTAAAATCTTTCATTACTTTTTCAAATACAATTTATTGAGAAGAAATATATTCTCAAATATGTTTCCCGGAAAAGCATGATAGAGCAATTTACTGGGTTCATGAATTGAATTTGAATACGACTGAATCTTCTGATCAAAAGTTTGAAATACTGCAGATTTTTTAAGCACTAGAAAAAACTTTACTTAAAGACATTTCACAGGAATTTAAAAGTTCAAAAAATGTATTGAATCAAATCTACTGTATCAATCCAATCTATCTAATAATAACACTTTAACATCCAACTGAGGAAGAAATGAAAGGTAAAAGAAAAAGCTCTCTTTGTTCCCATTAAAAGCCCAACTGCTGTATTTAATTCGCATGATGAAAAAGAATAAAATAATACAATAATGGACGTTTTGCAATTCATAGTTAACTTGTTAAATTGGATCCAGGCTGGACCAGTGGATTTGCTTATCACAGTCAAACTTCTCAGACTTTTTCTGTCTGTTTATCTCTCTAATGCTCCGGTTATTTGGTTTTGTCGTATGTACATCGCTGAATGTTTTTCTGTCGTATGTGGAAAGTGTCGCTTCTTGAGTTCGGCGTGCATCACATTCTGTTACTCGTACCTGTGAGGAGCGACATCCTCCTTTTCTTCCTGTCTGATCCAGTTTGTGATAACGTGCTCCGACTGTCGAGTCAATGACAGAAAGTGTCTGTTGCTCCGTTGCGATGTGCCAAATGTGATGAGAGATATTTGTAATGAGTATGAGAGAGATGCTGAAAATCTAATTGACTGGAGGATGTATCAAGTTTGCATAGATAACTTTTCACTCTATGTATGCTAGTTTTTAAAAGTACTATGAGTACAACCTTAATCTTTGTATATAGGTATCTATGTCAATGTTTTTATTCTGCTAATTGAGTTTGACTGTTTTATTTTAATATGTATTTGAGCTTTTATTAATATCATACCTGTGAAGAATTCACCAAACTCCTGCTCCAGCTTCATAGCCCTGTCAAATGTCTTCTTGGCTTGTTCCTCTGTCAGTCTCTTGTTCATGTCCCTGCACAGGGAAGAGGAAACAGAATATCACAGACCCACACACAATTCTGTCTACAACAGCGTATACAGTACATACAAATATTTGATAAATATCCCTAACCCTAACCCAACACATTGTTACTACAAAACACTTTATTACATTTTGTAGATACTGACTATTAATTTGTTTTTTCAATAAATAATATAGAAAGAAATGCAGAGTATCATAAGCCAGTTAAATATTTAAGTATTATAAAATGGGAACTGGTTTGTAATAAAGGACAAATATGAATACTCACATTAATGAATCAATAGACTTTGGTTTTATGAAGATGGCGATGGGATAAAGTTGTGCTACTTGTAGTCGTTTGATGGCATTTCCAGACACATCCAGAATGCAGTGTTTACCCTGAGACAGAGGCACCACAATTTTAAACAACACACAAGAGCACAGTAACAATGATCTCTCAGGTCAGAATGTCAAAGCTGCACTATGCATGCATTATGAGGCTCACCCTTTCAGCCACATATTTTACAGACTGGACACTTGTTCCATAAAGATTATCATTGTACTGTCCCGCTTCAATAAACTTGTGCTCTTGGATGTCCTTTTCCATCTGCTCTCTGGACATCACAAAGTGGTAGTCTCGCCCGTCCACCTCGTAGTCCCTCTTCGGCCGGGTGGTATCTTTGGTGCACGGAAGAATATGTATANGAGAGAAACCTCTAATGATTCCATTGTACCTGAGTATAATGACAATAACAATCTTTTCTAGTTTTCAGGTTTTTTAATTTCCATACACAGCTATTTATAAATGTAATGTTTACATGACTCTGGATGGTTTGATTTGGTGCACATACTTCTCAGTACTTTATGTCCTGTTGCTGTCAAGGTGTCAGTGCCTTATTAGGATTTTTATGTTATTTCAGATTAATGCATGTGCACCAGTGAATACTGCTGTAATGTAATTCAGAGAAGAAACCTCGTCTCCTCAGCTTCATTCCTGTGTTCTGACTAATACATGATCCTGTTTACTGCCAAAACCTATAAACTAAGCTTTATATCATCATCCCAGGAACAGCAGCTAAGAAAATTGGACAACTTGATCGTCATTGAGTTTTTTTCTTGCTCTTGAATCAACTTGACAGCAAGATACAGTTGTGTATCATCAGCATAGAGGAGCAAGATTTGAGAAAAATATATCAAATAGTGTTAACAGAGGTTATTAGGTTTAAAGACAACATTTAGTCAGACCTGATTATCTTGTTCTTTTGATGATTATGCAGGAATTATTATTTATAAACTAAAAGGTGAAACCAGTCAAGCAAAAGAAATGATGGGATTTCTCACCCCAGAATAGCAGCACAGATTTTGTCTATGAAACCTGATATTAGTGTATGAGCGACGTGGAAATGATAGCGCGAGGAAACGGGTAGATGAAGCTTTTATGATGTAAAAAACCAGCATAGATTTCATGGATAGATTTCCACAGAACCTGGTGGTAGGATTCAGTATGTGTCCATTCAATGTTGCTGTGGATCTACTGTTTATCAGGTGGCAGATACAGGATTTATTTATTTTCTTTCTTTAACATTGAGAGATATTCCAATATTTCATTGATTGGGAGAATGGAGCTTGATGAAAGAAAAACCAGGCATGTTAAAGGTACAGTGTGTAGAATTTTGTGATATCTAGTGTTGAAATTGCATGTTGCAGCTGAACACCCCTCACTTCATCCTCCCCTTCCAAAAATGAAAACGAAACTGTGGTAGCCTTCAGTTGTCATAAAAACTCAAAAAGTGTTTCGTTTGTCCAGTCTGGACTAATATAAAAAACATGGCAGGTTTGTAATCTACTAGTTAGAAATGAAAAGGGAACAAAATTGCCTGATCGTGTAAACATTAAGTGTTGTAGTACTTCAGCCACTAAGAGAAATCTGACACTGAACAAACATCAGCTCAAAAATCTTTGCCGATACATTGTTCAGTTTTTGGACCTTTCATTAGAACGTGCATCAAGATAACCAGCAAAAAAGCTTCATCTACCCGTTTCCTCACGCCATCATTTCCACGTCACTCATACACTAAAATATCAGGTTTCATAAGCAAAACCTGTGCTGCTATTCTGGGGTAAAAAATCACATTATTTCTTTTGCTTGACTGGTTTCACCTTTTAGTGAATAATTCCAGCATAATCATCAGTGGGAAAGATAATGTGGGTTGTCAGATTGAGACATCAGGCTCCGTATTGATAACAAAAAAAGAGAATACTGGGATAACACCACCAAAGAAAGAAAACATCACAGGAATACTGCACGAAATAATTCTTAGGTGATTTAGTCTGATGGGGAGGTGGTTACACAGCAGGGTGCCAGTGTCTGCATAAACCTGTTATTCAGTTACTCAACTGAGTGTCTTGCGGCTACACCTACACAACGCCGTGCTGCCAATGGGTCAGTTTGCTCATTTCAGCCACACTCCCCTTTTTGGCTGATTTCCCACATTGGGCATAATTTGTGACTCATATCAAACCACCATGGAAATCTCTCATGAATTAAAAATGGATGAAACAAATATCTTGGGTTTCAGTTTTTCTTCACTGGAACCAACAGGAGAAGTTCATATAAAGTTTGGAGCGACAACATCAGCGGCCATGAAGGGAGAGTGAGTTGGAAATCTTGAGCGTAACGGTCACAGTTTGAACGAACAGTTCTCAAGCTGGTCAAGAGTAAACAGTCGATATCCTGGGCCGCCCTCTTTACATGTCAGTTGTCTTGGAAACAGGTGCAGAAATTGAGGAATTTGGCTTGTGGCTGAGAAAACCAGGAGTCGCTGTTCAGCAACGCCAGAGAACAACAGCAGCAATACGTCGAGTGAATGTTACAGTGGAGGCACGGCGCTGCGCTGAGGCAACAAAAGCTGCAATTCAGGAAAACTGGGGGGTAGAAGACCATTCAAAAACAGACTAACTGATGTTTACTATAATCAATTAAAAAATATCTGTGCAATGCATAAAACAGAAGGAGAGGTTACCTTTCTGAAAAGGCTTTGAAAACTGATATTTCACGTTTCTGCAGTAAATGTAAATGTTGGTATTTACGGCTAAATGAATAAACTGGAATCATAAACAACCGAACTGATGAATTTGATTCATTTTATAAGGATGTAAAATTCTTTCACTCAAGAGCCAAACATGTATATTTTATCTATATCTATTTACTTGTATATTTCTTATATAGTATCTTTGCCTATCACACTCCAGTTTTATCCCCATAGAAGAGGCACAGCATTCAAAAGGAAAAAAAACAGACTCATGACCTCGCCCTGAAGAACAGAAAGAAATCAGGCACCCCTCAGCAGAAACACTGTTCACTACTGCCCCCTGCTGTGAACATGAGCACTAGCACTCGTGTGAACACTGAGGTGGAGGAAGAACTAGAAAATCCTTGAAAAGTAAAGGTTGTGTAATTTAGTGAGAGATGACTTGTGTGGTGATTTCAAACTACTATCAACGTGTTTCATTTGTGAAAGATCAATAACTGAAACATTAGAGAAACATAATGTGGTTATTGGCTTGTTTGAATTTAAGGGCACTGTTGGGCCTCGGTGGAGCTACAGGCTGTACTCAGTGCAATCCTAGTTCTTATTATAACTGTTTTCACTGTCACTGTTAACATGGGGACATTCAAGTTAAAGCTGTAAGTAGGTCAGTACAACATAGAACATTCATACATAGTTAATTCATTATTTTTTGCGATGCTGAGGAAACCACGTCCTCACTGTTATCATCAATGTGCCCAAGAACTATTTGGGATGCAAGAAAACCTCCCTGCAGCAGACGTTGTTTTGAAATGTAGCCCGGTTTATGTAACGTACTTCTCCATTTATCTATCCAAGCTGACATCAAGGGCATAGTCTGATCTCTGTGGTTTAAGCAAGGAGCTGCCGTTGTCAGTTTTATAACTCATGACCCGTACTGACAGTTACACATGTCAGCACTTGTGCAAACAGATCTGCCTCTAATACACCACCGACCAAATCTGTCTTTTCTGTCCACAGCCTCCCTCTTACATTACAATCCTACCGCTCACACAAAAAAAAAGCAGATGAGACTTGTCAAATGGATTTCTTTTCATATCACGATCCCATTAAGTGTCATGTTTCTTCACATCTTACATCCACTCCTCTCAAACACACAATGACCCAGCTCCTACTCTTCAGCCATGGCTGATTAATTGAGGGCAGGGAGATGCAGACACGACAGGACAGATCAGGCCCTTGATACTTTGCGGTGTGTCGTAGTGCTGGTGTTGCTGAACTATGGAAGCAAGATAGCCGGTGGGCATGACTTGGATGGGGACCTTTCAAATCCAATCGCATCGAGTTGGGTCCCCGTCCCGGCCCGGCCACGCTATCAGAGCAGATAACGTGCTCCAGTAAAGGTTACGACTCACCATGACATTTCTGCTGAGACTCAGTAATCTCTGATTCCTGTGGACTAATCTTGTATTCATATAAGTGCGTGTTTGTGTGCGTCTCCCTGCTGGGTGAGGGCATGCATGGGCGCTGCGCTTTGTTTATAATAAAAGGTAATGGAATAAACAGTAAATCAAAATATGAGGAACAGGCAGTAAGATAGTGAAACAGGAGTCATGAATTCCATTAAATCACATTCTCTCTCTGTGGATATTAGGTTCAAGAGACCAGAGAACTTTCCAGAGGCAGGAAATCACTTTGTTGACTTTCTTCAGACACACGTAAACAAGTGAAATCATCTATGAAGGAAACATCACTTCATCTTTTCAGTTTTTCACTGGAAGTGTAGGAGCTTGTTGAGACGACAATCAACAGAAAAGGATTTGCGCATGATGTTTTAAATTGTAAACGTCTTATTGTTCATTACTGTTTCATGTCACTCAGAAGAAACTATCAAAACATCTATTTTCTCCTGAGCCTGATTCCTCTGCGTTCGTATCTGTGTGACATGAGAGACAAATGTGGTGAAACAGTAACAATGGGAAAGGTTTCTTTATTCAAGACTCATTCAACAGATCAAATAAAACTCCAGAAGGTTTTATTTCCCACCTGCCTGTGGTGTTAGAGGTCAGAGTCAACTTCCACGACACCAGTCGAAAAACAGACAAATGATCCTGGCTTCAGAGGCGACGTCAGGACACTTTGACAATTGTGATTAAGAGGAAAAACACACAAATAGGCGTAAAAATAAATACGAATGTGATCTTGAGTATTTCAGATTTTGTTTTGACAAAATCACCAATAAACTACATTTGGTGCAGCATCCATGGATTCAAAGTGATGAATAAACATATACCTTCTGTCACTCAAACTAGTTACCTCTATAATATACAATCTAACCTCTTTGTGCCTAACTTCACAGGTATAATGGAAGCTGACTAGTGTGTTAATGCCATCAACTGTTTATCTTGATGTGCCGAATCCTAGTACTCGCATAGAAGTTGTAAACATGCATTAATATGCAGTGTCTTTTCCTGATTGTCTGCAAATTCTGCAAACAATGAAAAGAGAAAAGCTCCAAACAAAAGGCAAGTCAGAATACGTGACATATTCTGACTCGGAGCACTGCCTCTTTTGCATCAGACAATGATCTCAGTCTTGGCTGCATGTAACTGGAGAAGCTTCAGGCAGATCTCATTCTTATGGATGGTTCCGTTTCCTTATTGAGAGAATCTATGAGACTGTAGTAAAGCAAAGTAAATGAGGGCGTCGTCTGCATAATCATAACAGTTGATGTTGCTATAGATGGAAATGAACCTCATCACTTCACTAAATATCAAGTCAACCTCTGGACAAACCCTGTTGTATCTGTGTGTTAGTGGTGACAAGGCTTCTACTCAACAAGCTGGAGACAACATGGGGGCTGGGAGCTCCACTGCTTTGTAGAAGACCCCTTTACAAAATCCAGGCAGAAATGAATGAATAACAATAAGAATCATTATAGGTTTTCTGCTTTAGATTAAATCTGGTATCCAATCAGCAGTTCCCCTGCTGAGGTGACCACTTTGACACCCCTTTGTTCCACAGCTCTCACAACAAAAGCATTTTTCTTCAGAGATCCACTTCATTACCCAGACTAATATGGAGGAAAATGTTTATTCAAATGAGCCCAAGATCAAATCCTATAAAATTAATAAGAAAATGCTGAAATGGATTATATGCTTACTGAAAAAAATCATATTTGAATTAATTACTAACTGAGAGGCCGTCGAGGTTGAAAAATGCTTATTCTCTTTCCATTGCCTTAGTTATTTTCTCATTAGCTTGCATTTATTTGTTCTCATCATCCGTCACTGCCCAATGTCATCAATGTGGGTCCATGAAAACAGAGAATAATTACATTTTATCATTATCAACATGACAACGACAAACGCTGCGAGCAGCCGATTGGCGGAGAAGGCACATTGTGAGCTTCCGATTGGCTGCTAGCGGAGGAAAGACTTTCTATTAGTGATTGATTAGGCAGTGCAATTTTCCACCTGGATGGCTCCTGGGTGCATACACTCATTGTGGGACTTTGGCAGGAGCCACCTTTGTATAGTAAGTGTATGAATGCGTGTTTCCTTTTGCTCTTAAATGGTATTTCCTGAGCTGTGATGGGGTCTCGCAGGGCGGCGGTTGGGGTTGAGCACTGTGCAGGAAGTCACATGTGACAGTCTGTCAGGTCACCTCTCATCAGGAGACATACAGCTCAGGAATACACACATGTACACAATGTTTCACACACACGGGTACAACAGAATCTTTTTTTTCTTTTGCTGTACTCCCCTACGAGCTTTTCCTGTGCGCTGATTTATGTCCAAATACACAGATCACCTTAAGTTTGGCTGCATCCAGACACGCAATGAAATACTGCAGAGTTTTTATGTGATAGAGAGAGTGCTCAGTAATAAACAGAAAACACTGTGATCTTATAAAGTCACACATATCTATGGATAATTCAGGTAAAACGCCACACCCATAAACAAGCAAATAAACCATGATCGATATATAATAATCAAACAATATAAAACACTCAAGATATAATACATAGCGTGAATGTAAATGTAAGATGCAGGAGAACAATATGATGGTCGTGACTCTTTCATTCAATAACTACTGTCAAAGTGGTGAGATTTCAGTTTTATCTCTTTTTTATTTAATGTGTCCCATTCAAGGTCCATGTACCTTCTATCAGTTTTACAGCCTCTTGCCTCTCATTAGTTTTTTCTTTGAACAAGTTAATCTCTTTTCCAAAAATGTTCCTGTTCACCTTTTACAATCTGCATATAATTCATCATATAGAGCTGATTATGTCCTTGCTAGATGAGGAGGTGACTGTTCACTAAACCTTTTCTCCTTATAGGCATGGTTGCATTGTTTGGGGAAAAGAGTGGAAATTGGGAAACAGCTAACATGGTTACCACTAATCCACCTAATAGCCCTTTTAAAGCTTACTAACTAATGTCTTGTTTGTTTAATCTGGACAAAGACTGTAGTTAACTTCTGAAAGTCAGTGCTCCTGTAGTATGCAACATACAGTACATTCCACCTAAGGAGTGAGTCAGTGGTCAAACCTTAGTGCCTTTATATAATGTATATTATGATTTGCTGCTTTACAAATAAAATAGAAGAATAAACTGAAGAAATCATTTTTAATATGAAGGATGGCTGCTCATTTCCTGTTTCCTGACATGAGTCAATATTGTTTTTCCTTCAAGCTGAACTCTGATCATTCAATAACTTTTAACAAAATGTTTTTTATAGTAATCATAGCAACGAACCTGCCCCAACATTAAGGAAGCACTGAGTTTAACTGCTATTTCCCTTGAGTTGTTTTGTGCCTAACCCATTGTTATGGATTAGGTCATTCACAATCTCTGTTTGACAGGTTGGCAGGTGAGGTCAAACCAAAATCCACACTTCCAGACTCAAACAGCAAAATATTAGCAAATCTCAGCAACATGGAAGAATTAACGAAATGCTGGCACAAGGAAACACCAGGGAACAGAGACTACAATTCAAAATGGAGGTGTAGGGACAGACACAGGAGAAACACTGTAGTGTGAGGCAGACGATCACTAAAGCGGGAAAAACCAAACAAGTAACACACACACAGAAGGTAAATATGATGCCAGGTAAAACAGGAAATCATTGTGACTTCTACAATAAGGTGAGGACCCAAATTCAGATGAGGCCAGATCCAGTGAACAGTCTTTACTTTGACTTACGTAGAGCGAGCAGTCAGGAGGGCAGCAGCATCCAAATCTCCAAAGTAAAAACACAACTGGGTCAATAAGTCTGGGAGAAACACTGACAGAGAAACAGACAAGATGAGCTGTCAAACGTGTGTCAGACACACAAACAGGAAGTGAAGTTCTCTGAAAGAGGAAGCACAGAGGAGTACAAAATAAAACAGGAAGTAATAAATTCAAAGTGCCAACAACTGAGACAGAAAGCAAACACAAGTAAAACCACAAGGCTGAAAGTCCATAAACTCAACAAAAAGATCAACAAAGAATAAATGAAAACAAATCAATCAAATCAAATCAAAAATACTTTATTGTCTCCATGGAATTTTTTTCTTTGACTAAACAGCTATTACAGCAGCTGCAGAATAGTTAATTGTGTAAAAAAAAAAAAAAAAAACAGTACACAAGGACATATCGTGGAAAACCCAGAATAATAATACGGGGTAAAAATTAGTTGAATATTGCACCTGCCCTAAAAACACTTTAAGAGATAAAACACTAAAAGGGTATGATGCATAAAAGATGAAATACAAAAACTGGCATTGAAACCTAAAAAACAGTGTCTAAAATGTGCCAGACAAAGAGCTTCATGGCCAAATGAACATGTTTCCTTGTTGAGTAGCGTGATAGACGTTGGGATGAATGAGAGCCTGAGGGGGTTGGTTTTATACTTAGAGGCTTAGGTAACAAATTCAGAAAACAGAATGTGTGACGGGTCATTAAGGATCCTGTGTCCCAGTCTGACCACAGAACCCCTGTAGATGGCCTGAAGAGAAGGATGGTTCTTTTTGCCCATCGCCTTCATGTTCTCAATTTTGGATTTTAGCTGCCGTTCTATATATCATTTTGCTTTCTAACACAGCCGTGTAAAATCTCGACATGACGTCAGGGCTCCAACAGTCTGCGAAGGAAGTACAGCCTTTGAGCTAACTTCCCACACAGAAAGTCTACATGCTTCCAGTGCAGATTGCAGTCCAGCTGTGTATCCAGATGTTTAAAAGTGTCTTCAAGTTTAGTGAAGTAGTCTTAAAGGTAAACTATAGTCTAACCAGCATCTTGGTATCAGTCATGATATCCAGCTCTACAAAAGAGAGCAAGTAGGTGTACTATTCCTATAAGTCACCTTTGTAAGGGGAGTATCCTACATTTAAAGACCTGATCGATGCAAACCACCTGTTGGTGTCAAATCTGCACATGAATCTTGCAACGTGCATCAGATCTTTAAGAAACCTGATCAGAGAGTTGACTTCTCTGAAGGACACAGGCCCGGAGCGTGACGAAGCAAGTTATTAAACTGAGAGCGAGCGAGACGATCTGCAGGCCGAGCAGCAGGGAGAGGCGAGACGTGACCATGGAGGGGTGACAGAGTGAGACGCCAAAATGAAGAAATGCAGAGATGAGAAGATAGAGAAACAGAGTGCCTGCCAGACCTGACGGAGGGCGGAGGAGAGGATGAGAAGAGACCACTTGGAGTGAGTTAACAGATCAGAAAGACTTTCTGCTCATGAAAGACAATTTTCCAATTTGGGGGATCATTTAAAAAAGCCTCCTCTTAATGTGTGAAATTCTCCAAATAAAACCGCATCAGAGGTTTCAAAATGTAGTTTCTTTTCAAGGTTCATGGAATTAATTTGCAGACACAGAAATTTCAACTTTAACACTGCACTCTGAATATATTGATTTTTACCTTCTGCCAAGTCATTTGTTTGTGAACATTTAAGGACAAGTTACACAGAAACTTGGAGGCAGGAGGCAGTATGGGTTAGGAAAGAACACTGTAAATTTTGGTGGGAATTTGGATCAGGGGAGGGATAAAGATTTTTTTGAATTTTCTTTAACGTGTGTTTTCTCAAATAATAATTATTGGTTCTTGGTGGGAAAAAACAAGCATATTGAGAGGGTTGATACCATGAGTCTGTGAAATTTGGTGAAGATCCAAGTAAAAATCTGGATCTAGTGGATTTCAACATGGTTTATCAAGGGAATATTGGACTTAGTGGGTGTCATTTTAGTTGCTTTGTTGGATTGTATTCTTGTTTACTTGTGTGTATGTGAGCAAGGTTACGCAATATACTACTGGATGGATTACAACTAAACTTGGAAGGATGCAGTATTGGTCAGGAAAGAACCCATCAAGTTTTGGTGTGGATCCATATAAGAAGGCGGATCCAGGATTTTAGTTGTTGTTGACATCTTCAATGTTTTCCCAGGTTATAATTAAGGGATTGTAAAGAAAAGAAATCAGGCATATTGAGGGATATCTATGAGTGTGTGGAATTTGGATGTGCCTGATTGAATTTCAGGGGACTGCTGGGCCTTGGCGGAGGAATGCTCTCTGCTGAGTGTTATTCTAGTTTTAAAGATTGTCCACACATTAACTTCAGTAATCCTCAGTTTATTAAAAACAACACTGCGTTAATATTATCCCTCGTTTCTATTCGGACAGTGGGAGTGGATTTTTACGCTGCCACGGTGAAAAACAATTATAATGACAAACAGTGTTGAATGTCAGTCAATATAAGAGGCCTGTCTTGTTTTTATTCTGCCTTTATCAGTAACTGCAGGTATATTTTGTGTTTTAGGGATGGTGTTATATTCTGTCCTTGGTCTCTGAAAACCAATTAGTCAATTAGGTTGGTCTTGTTTACAAAAAACACACAATCAACCTCAAAAACCAAATTATTCTTTTAAAAAAGCGCAGGCTGCAGAAATCTCTCCCCAGCTTTGACAAAAAGCATCAGTCTCCACCTCGTTTCTTCACAATCCAACCAATGATGATAAAGCCGGAAAACAGGAAACAGCGAGGTCCTGTGGAAGTCCGTTTTTCCAGCCCGCCAAACCTCACGGGGACAAAGGGTGGAAATGACCATCATCGACTGCATGCTGTCAGATAAGACTGTATTGTACACTCCACTTAAAAAATCATTCAATCAACCGTCCCCCTGTGCTCTCTCAGGTTCTGTGTCACTGAGGTTTATGTCACTGTGGGTTATGCCACTCTGCAGCTGCTGCAGAGGTTCAAGTGTAAAGTTATCTCAGTCAAATATGTTTTTTCATCTGCAGAAGTTTAAACACAAACACTCAAACTCTGTTTCTTCAGGTTAGCTGTCCCACAGCACCACCTGCTGGACATAAACATACTAACAAACATTTTAAAGTAAAGCCTCAGACACTTCACTTTAGTAAAAGCAAAAATAAAGAACATAAAAATGTTTGATCACAAGTAAAGCTCCTGTATTCAGAATTTTACTGATTATACAAATGTATTATCAGATAAATGTACTAAAAATGGCCTCTTAGAACAGAGTTTGTTTTATAAGATTCGTTTTTTGGTTTATAATCCCCTGATCTATGTAAACTGGTTTGTAATTTGTCAATAAACTTATTTTTTCCAGCTTGTTAAATATCCAGAAAAAAAAACATAATTTTACTAATTTTTTACCACCGAGTATAGGAAATTAATTGGTGTTTAAAAAACGAGTAAAAAGTGAAATAAACAGTTGATGTAAATGACAAAGATTCAAAATGAAAGACCTTCCTACAGCCAACCTTCTTATAACAAACATAACGTTTATTAGTGTATCATTAGACCATCATTTTAAAACTAACACAATATCAGTGAAGATAACATTAAAGATGTCATCCAGCCACATTTGAAGACATATATAAATGCTTTGATCATTTGGGATTTTTTTCCACACACACACAAGACGTGGTAATTAGCTACAAAATCTTTAAATTACATCCATTAGATTTAAGCTTGTAAAACTTTCCCTTTTCAGCAGGTACATTTAAAAACTGTTTTCCTGTATAAAACTCAGCACATGATTCTGTACACTGAAGATCAAACATACAATTAAATTAACAATAAGCCCAATATTTGAGTGGAGAAGACTTAGAGGGGCTTTATTTCCTAAACTAAGGGAAGTCATTAATTAAGAAAACACATTGCTCAAAGATTGGGGAAATTTACATTCACAAGAGATCATATGCACTCAAGCAGAAAATGACCTGTGGGCCAAACAAGCCCCAGTGGATCATTTTCACACATTTTCACACTTTGCTACATTTATTAGACCAATACTGTCCTTGTATTACCTCGATTTCCTCACAGGAAAGTCTGTCATCCCTGAGTCGGCTGCGAGCAGCTCCCACCTACCCACCCTGGGAAACAGTTGCACTGAAACTCAGAATACATGAATGTGAACTTGTCGGCCCTCATCCGTCCTAAAACTTTGTAGTTATTCCTCCCGTCTGGCCCCTTCTCAGACACCACCTTCCACACAGCGGGGTCCAGGTGGAGGTGGGCCCTGGAGGTCGGGTTCTTCCTCTGACACCGGCCTTGAGACGAACACAGCGTCTGGCTGCACAGAGCGGCCGCTGACGTCACATTCACCAGGTAAGGACCCAGCGTCTGATCGATGTAGAATTTGATAGCGTCACAAGTGGCCTGACAACACGGAGGAAACAGAACATATTTGACACAACTTTATTGACAACTTTGTTATCATTTTACAGTTTCAATAAGGAGCTTAACATTGTGCAGACAAGTTGAACTTATTCATTTGTGCCAGATCTCCACCATGGAAACTGTTAATATGAAAAATAACGGAAACTACAAAATAAGTTGACAATAAGACTGCTGATGATTCAGAATGACCTATATATTAGATTTTCACCACTCAGCCTGGACATTATAATCAGTTACCATCTTTACTGATCCCCAGAGTACGAAAATAAAGACATTTACAAGTGATAATGACAATGAACATTTCAACGTAACATTTCTGAATGTTAAAAATCTCCTTTTTTACAATAAAACAGCAGAATCTGTGATCTTTATCTTCATTTCTCCACTTCAGTCATCATTGCTGCTCACCTCATCCATCAGATATTTTCTTATGTTTAAACACTTTAAATTCGAACTTGCCTTTCCATTATTCTAAAAACAGTTTCTTCTAACCAGTGTTAGATATATTGTTATGTTGTTGATGTGTTCAGCCACGCGGCATTAATTTGACTGATTAAATCAAACCTGACAAAGAGGAAAAAAGTTGTGATACACGCTTTAACACAAACATTTAAAAAACTGTGCTGGTGTTTGTGTCTGATGCCTTCACACTGATATTAAGTCAGTTTTCCGATATGCACTTGGTTTGAGATTTCAAGGTGAGATTACCCAGACAGTAAACCAATGAATGTGAGTGTGGCATCTGTGAAAAGTGAAACATAGCTCTTTATTGTACCTTAGACTTGGAGAAGGCATGGTCGCCCCACAGGACCACCCCTGCAGACCCTAAAGCAGCGCTCTCCCCGATGGTGTAGACCAGGTGCTCCTGCAGGAGGAATAAAACAAGAAAAGTAACAGAGGATAGAAAAAATTACAAGAATTCCTAAAGAGCATTGAGTTCAAACAATAGCAACTTGCCTGCGAGAGGAAATCAAACGTGTAGGTATAGACGATGCGGCTGTAGGGGTATACAGGCGGTGCTGAGGGAGTCACCTGAGCTCCCGCCCTCATGGCCTCCAGGATGCGGTGGTGAGTGTAGAGGAGAACTTCTTGGCTGAGGCCTCGCATTTCGAGGCTGAGGTAGATGTCAGGATACAGAGCAGAGGAACTGTTCCACAGCCACAGCAGCTCGTCGTTCCTCTTCATCGCTACAGCCGGACACTCCCCTGTGTAGTTTATCTCTTTGCCCAAATAGTTGTAGCAGTCTGGGAAACCATAGTAACCCCATAACCCGTTAGGTCTTTCCTCTCTCCCCAGTTTCAGCGTTTGCTCCATGAAATTCCTCCCTGCTTCCTCAAACGTCACCCGGGCTACAGCCTCCACCTGCGCGGGGCTCCAGTCCGGGTGCATGGCCCTTACCAGCTCTCTCGACGCTTCCCAGTACACCTGCTTACTGTCCCAGTTTCTCTCCCACACAGGTCTCCAGCTCTCCCAGTCCACCACAGCCAGGCCCTGGAACCCCCTGTCTGGGATGTAGGTGTGGATGTCTTCAGAGGCCACCCAGAGGTGTTCATCAAGACTGGCGTTCTGTGGGACCCCGCCATTCAAAGCCTCCCCTTGGCTGGAGTACCTGGGATACAGACCCAGCTTTTCAGCATAGAAGATGGTGATGTTTTCCCCCATGAAGGTTTGGTTTTGGTTGTGGACGATGTCGAAGGTCCCCAGGTCGAGGTCCACGCCATACTGAGAGAGGCAGCTGAGAGTGGGGGCGTTCCACACAGTCAGGAAAGGCACCTGGGAGAAAGAGGATGCTTTCAGCCGCAGCCCTGAAACAAGGCAGAGCAGACTGCAGAGCAGCAGCAGCGGAAGATGACGGGAACTCATCCCTGCCAAGAAAAGAAGAAGAGAACTGCTCAAACAAAAAAGGGAGCAGTTATTGCAACACCATCTTTAAACAATGCTGTCTTTGAGAGGTTGAGAGGAAACTTCAGTCTCGAGAATCAAAATCCAAACAAATAAAGTTCTTTCCATTTCCAGAAGCTGCATAAAGGAGCCAAGAATTTCAGCTTCTGACTTAAGGTGGTCTTTTCTTTGTTTATTGATCCATGATGTTCCATAAAATCTAAAATGTTAAGAGTTGGAATAAAGTCATGAAATAAATGCTAAATGTATTAAAGACAAAATGAAAAAACACTAACTTACCTGTTCAAACACAGAGCAGAGATTTCAGTGTGTGTGTGTGTGTCTGTGCGTGTGCTCTACCAGCAGTCACATGATCAGAATCACATGCAGGAAAAGGGAACAAAACCAGAAGCTGTCACAGATTTTTTCCCCCCAACAACCAATCAGAGGAGACATGCAAATCATTTCCATGGAGCATCTGTATTTAAAGCCACAGGGACATTAAAGCATGACTCCTGTATTATCCCTCACACAGTTAATCTGTGGGTTCAATACAACATGTGAATATCTGTGAATATAAACAGTTCACCAGGGTCACATGGGAGAGATTTAACTCTGAATGTCTGTCAGGGAAAGAAAAAAAAAAGCCATAATGAACTCTTCCACCTCCAGATTTAAATGAAAGCCTGCTCAACTCTTAGAAGCAGTAAAAAATAACTCTTGGCTTAACAGCACCCTACAATTACATGGGGGGGTGAGGCAGCAGCCGACAAGATGTGTCCCTCCCTGAAGACGAGCGGGCTCTGGCTCCCCTCAGAAACCAAATGTGACATGTTTTCACCCTCAAGCTTAATTCTAACCTCCGAGAAGGAAGTTACATTTGTCCCTTTGTTTGTTTTTCAGCAGGATTATGCAAAAAAACTATTTCCATAAAACTCAGTGGACGGATGTTGCATGTGCGAGGAAAGACGCCATTATATTTTTAGGCGTGGATCCATACAAAGAGTCAGATCTTGGACATTTTCTATCACTTCTTTCTAACACTGAGACTTATATATTTGCAAGAATCTTGATCAATGAAGGGGAGTTACATTTATGAGTGTGTGCAATTCTGTGCGGATAAAAATAAAAATCTTGATCTAGTGGATTTAAATGTGGTTTCACTGTTGGACCAGAGTGCAGTTCTTGGTGACAAGCAACAACATCCTAACTGTATCATCTGAAAACAACTTGCAAAACTTTATTGTTTCCTGAAAATATGATCCACAAATGATCCAACAATCTCCTCTGGTTTCATCCTCCTGTCTTTGTTTATTCGTCTGTTAGTTTGTAGGATTAAAAGGTGACTGTTGAGCCATTCTAGTTAATACTGCAAGCAATAAAACTTATCTGAGAACCAGCTGTTAAACTTTATACCTGTAATACTGAAATTCAATCCTAAAGGTTATTGTTCACAAGAGAAATTCCCCAATAAGTTTAACAAAGAAGTTTATTGAATTTGAAATTTGAGAAAACAGCATGAAGACAGAGGTGATAATGTCATTAAACCTGTGGAACATAACAAAGCGTCGGAAAAATGTCTCTAAATGTTTGTACAATGTTTGTGCTTCTGAAGTCAAATAGCTGCTTTTTAGCATCAATGGAGTCATGAAGTGTTTTAATAGAAAACTACTAGTAGTCATGTTTTAGACATAAGAATCAGAAAATATCATATAAAACACCTAAAAAATACATTCAAATAAATAGTAACACTTGAATTGCTTCCATTAGAAAAGGTCATGAGAGAGGTCATGTTGAAAAAGATCAGGCACTTCAAATCATATTGTGCTATCACCAGATTCAAGTGCATCAATTCCACTTTCACCACACAGCGGCCGACATACGCCGACTCATTCACCACATTTCCTCCGAAGACGTGCTCCCTATGAGAAACATGGAATTTGACACTTTGGGAAACAGTGACCGAGAGGAAACCGAGAGCAAAATGTAAACAAGGTCATTTCCAGCGAGCCCTCTATTGTTTAAAAAAAGATTACAAGTTATAAACAAATATAACTTTTTGCAATTTCCACAGTGTTTCATAAAAAGTTTCACTTTGTGTCATCCTTATTTTTTACAGCAATTCAAGAAAAGAAAATGACACCCCTCCCTCTCAGAAACCTGTCATCGTGTATGCTCTGATATTTGAACACACACGATGCAGCCGTCTACTGTGTTTACGGTGCATTAACAGAGGAGCAGAGAAATAATCAGTAAGATCACACATTGCAGTGCTGATGCCATGGTTGGAGCCGCCCCTCCTCTCTGGTGCAGAGGGTCCGTCTGATCGCAGCCCTCTCCCAGGTAGCCGCTGAAGCACTGGCACCGAAACTCAGTTTGGAACTTCGTCACCTCCGCTTCGCCAAGCTCACCCGTCACTGTCGGTTTGCCGTTCTGCCTGATGATGCTGTGGGTGAGGGGGTTCAGGTGCAAGTAAACATCACTGTCTGGGTTTTTGCGCAGACAGCGGCCGTGTGAACCACACAAGGTCTGGCTGCATAGCTCTGCTGCTGTGGAGACGTTGACGAGGTATTGACTTAGCGGGCCTCGGAGATATGCCTCAAGGTCTGAACAGCTGGTCTGGAGAGGAAAAAGAAGAAATCACTCCGTCACTCAGCTAGGTCAAGATTCACAGTTACCCTCTTTCAAAGGCATAAAGTTCAGGAAGTTTAAAGAAAGCACAGAATGTGATGATGATTAACTTCAACTCTAAGTTTGACTTTTTCCATTCATCCTTAACATCACTAATGGAGTCACACATGCAACATGAGCCACAAACCTGTTGATTCGAACAGCAGGAAAAAAATAGAGGCTAAAATACATTCAAAGATTTCATTCTAGAGTAGAACAGAGTAGAAAGCCTGTATTGTTGTATTGTGAAATTGGTGCATTAACATTAAAATAAAAGATTAAAAGAACATATCAGTATAAAACTAGTTTGAAATGACACTTTTATCTCTGATGAATGTTTGTCCATCTTGTGCATTTCTGTTCAATAAAACATTAAAATTTTATTCTTATTTACTTATGTTTAAAATATTGCATATCTTCATACAATGGCCCAGAAATATAAAGACTAAAGAAGAGACACAAATTCAAGATGTAAATTTAAAACACTGTAAAATAAATTTGGTCCTTCACAACAAAAACAGGCTGATTTGAAGATGTTAAATTACAATCAGCTCAAATGTGACATTCATGTGACTATTGCAGTTTCTTTGAAGCTGAGCCCTGAGGAGTGACTTAGTTATCAAATGACTGCACACATGACGAACAAGAGCATCGGGCAAGAACTTTCCAGATGATGACGTTTGTGTTCAGTTTGTTTCATGACTGGTGTGGTGGTGCTTACCTTGCTGCTTGTATAACCTGCATCTCCCCACAGGATGATTCCAGCCACTCCCAGAGCCACGCTCTCCCCGATGGTGGAGACGAGATCAGTCTGTGAAGGATGACACGGCATTTTAACCCTTTTACATTTCTAAAGGCACAGGTCAAACACAGATAAATGAGTATCACCGCAAAAGGGTCAGAATGTTAGTGAGTCATTTGCTACTGTGTAAAGTGCAACATGTTCTTTGACTCATAGGTTAACAGTGCATAGGGTTTTAGCAAGATTTTCAACTCGACCAACACCCATCCTGCCCACTGCAAACAAACGAGAGGTGCTGGGGTGTCTCTCTGCTCCCGGGACAGGAAAGGGCTGTGGCTGTCGATAAGGAAGAGCTGAGCTATAGCTCCATGCAATATGCACTGATCAGAGAGGGGGGGTGAGCCAGGGTGTTGAAGGTTAGAGCCACACTGTGATTGAGAGTTATCCTTGAAACAATACAAGTTCATATCAGAAATGTTTAGTATCATACGTGACCATCACATTACTCATTTAAAAGTTCAAGAGAATGCTGGGAAGGAAAGAAAGAACAGCTGATAAGGAAGAAAAAAACAAATTTAGGACTGGTAGAAATTCTAAAGTTAGAGCGTCACCTCTGTCAGCTGCTCCAGAGAGTTGGCGTAGGTGGGGCGCGTGTACACAAAGACAGGACGCGCCAACCCATCACCTGATGATGCCAAACGCATCCCCTCCCTCACTCTGTTCCGGACGAACTGGCGTCCGGAGGAAGACGAGCGCAGCACAGTGCCCATGTAGATGGATGGGAAGAGGGCAGTGCTCTCGGTCCACAGCCATTTCAGCTGCTCGTTGCGGGCCACCTCCACATCAGGGCAGCGGCCTGTGTAGTTCTCCAGAGTGCGTCTGTAGTCGTGGTTGTAGCAGTCGGGGAACAGGTAGAACCCCCACAGCTGGTTGGGCCTCAGGTTCTTAGCTTCTTTCAGCGTCTCCAGCATGAACTTCCTGGCAGACATTTCAAACTCCTGCTGGGCTACTTTTGTCACCTGCTCCGGAGGCCATGTTGGGTTCTTCTGGCGCACCATCTCACGAGAATGCCTGCGGTAAACGTCTTTGGTTTCCCAGTTCCGTATCCAGAGTGGGCGCCACTCCTCCCAGTCAATAACGGCCAGACCTTTGGCCCCTGTCTCACGTATATACTTATCCACACTATCTGGCATCTTCAGCAGGTGTTGCGTGAGACTGGCAGCCTGTGGCAGCCCCCCGTTCACCGCCGTTTCATCTGGCTTGAAGTAGGGGAACAAGCCCAAGCGGTTCTTATAGAAGATGGTGAGGTTCTGTCTGACAAAAGCCTCATTGGGTGACGCCACGATCTGGAACTGGTCCAACTGGAAACGAATGCCATGCCGTGGGGCACAGTCCTCAGTCGGGGCATTCCAGGCGAGGAGCAAAGGCTTTTTGGAATACAGTGGCCATTGCGTGGGTTTCAGTTCCAGAGCACAGAGGCAGTCCCACAGCAGAACAATAAGCAGCCGTATTTTCCAGTCACACAAAGTCCAGTACAACATGTCTTCAGATGTGGATCGACAGAAAGGACCGTCACTCTCTGCTCTATAAGTCACACAGGAGAGTGAAATGTTGGAACTTTTAGTTTATTGTTATCACAAGTGGCCTCCCCCAGCACATTCATTCATAAAGTCAGCATTTCAACTTTTGTGTACAGTTTAGTTTTGTGCACTAAATGAAAAAACCCTCCAATCAACAGCCTGTATGACAGATCAAGTATGTAATTATAACAAATTTAAATTAGCTTCCATCTAATTTACTGAAAGCATCTTTCTATTTATGAATGTATAATATAGGTCTTAATATTTGAATTGACAATTCAGAGGACCCTCAAATATAAGTTGTTTTTTTTTGTCTTTATAATAAGTGACAGTATATACATTCAGCAGTGGTTGAAGACTTCCTAAGTAAAATAACATTACCACAAAGTAGAAATACTCTATTACGAATAAA